GGGGTTCCAGGCGGGGGAGGCCACCTGTGACCCGCCTGCGCCGGGATCACCAAGTCCGCATCTCGAGGTCCCGGCGGCCGCTCTGGTCAGACCCGCGAGGGCCCCGACCTCCCGGCCCCCCGCCGCCCCGGGGCCCTAGCGCGCGGGCCCCGCGGGGGCCCGGGCGCACCCGGAGCCGATTCAGCTCCGCGCTGGGAGCTCACCTTGTAGACATTTTCCGTGAGCCGGTGCATCTCCTCCGAGCGCGACAGCGACATGGTCCTAGGTTCCGGCTGCACCACAGACCGGAGCGGGGGCGCGGACGGCGGCGGCGGCGACGACGGTAGCAGTAAAGAAGAAAGGCGCGCAGATCCGGACTACAGAGCGCGGCGCCCGGCGGCTGCCGTTTTATTGTCGCTACAACCCCCGCCCCGCCGCAGGCCCCGCCTCCGGGCCCCGCCCCCGCCGCGCCCGGATCACCGCCCCCGGCCGTCCGCCCCCGCCCCGCCCAGCTGGTGCTAGGCAACCACCAGGCCCCGCCCCCGCACCGCCCTTCCCATTGGCGGATTCCAGAAATGGAGGAGGGGGCGGGCGCGGAGGCGGGGCCTGATGACTGGCTGCTGGCAGCGATTGGCCGGCTACAGCGTCGATCCCAGGGGAGGAGGCGGAGGCACAGCGCGGGCTGGGGCCCAGAGAGCAGCCTGAAGGGGGCCCGGGCGACAGCCGGGCTGGGGGCGGGGAGGCGGAGGCGGGGTGGCGCAGGAAGCTGGAGCAGAAGGTGGGGGGAGAAGCGCGGGGGGCGCCGCTGCGAGTGCGCGTGGAGGCGGCACTTCGCGAAGTGGCTCTGCAGGGCGGCGGGTCGGGCCGGGGCTTGCGCTGCGGGAGGTAGGGTCCGGGCGGGGAAGGGAGGGTTGCAGAGTGGAAGGATCGAGACTTTCGGACGCCGGGCGACAATGGCCGGCTTGGTGGCAAGAGCCGAGGGCTCGGCGCGGAAGCAGCCGGCGCGACCCCGCACCGTCGCAGGTGAGTCCGCCAGGCAGGCAGCGACCCCCGGCCAGCCCTCTGGGATGGAGGACCTGGAGGAGTAGACCCTGGATGAGGACCCTGTAGAGAGCGGGACCCTGGACGCGGGAGGGGGAAGACTTGGGGAGCACCCCAAGAGAGGATGAGGATGCAGGACCGTGTAGCGATGTGGACTCTGCGCAAGGACCCTGGAGCTAGTGGGGTGGTGCTTGAGCTGGGATCCTGGAGAGGAGAGGACTCGGGGAGAAGGGTTTGCAGAAGAGGACCCTGGGGCAGGAAGGACCCTGGGGAGGAGGATCTGGAGAGAAGCAAATGGGGGTTGGGAATGGTTGGGGAGAGGATCCTACCAGAAGGACTGGGAGAGGGATTGGGGGACCCGGAGGGAGGGAGAGGACCCTCATGGGGTCAGTGTGCTTGTGGGGGAGAGCCTCACGGAAGGAAGAGTCTAGGGAGGTAGAAGAGAGCCTGGGAGATCCCTGTGGGATGGCGGACACTGGTGAGGGGACTTTGCAGAGGGATGGTTGAGTCGGAGTTGCCTCTGTGTTTAAGGAGGATCTTGCTCCTGCATCCACTTGAGAAGAGAGTCTCCTCAGGGAGCTGACCAAGGCAGCACACAGGGTTCCCAGGACAGTCCCCTTGGGGACATATTTACATAAATTAGAGTAACGTAGAGGAATTATTTGCTTTACTTCATAAAACACCAGATCTGAGTGTTTCCCTTTAATTAAACCTGACATTCTCCCCAGCATCCCATCCTTGGAAAATCAGTCACTCATTCATTCCTTTGACAAGTACAGGCACCCAGGAGACAGATAGGCAGGACATGCCAGACCCCCGGGCACATAGCCAGGGGCTGGCCAGGCCTGAGCACACGGACGCTGCTCTGTGTGGGTGGAACGAGAGGGAGCAAGTGCAGGATTCGGCCGTGCCCCTCCTCTGGCTTAGCCTCCTGCCTGCGCCTAGCCAGTGTTTTAGGAAGATCCTGGGTATTTATTTTCTGGGATTCTTTTGGTTGGGATGACAGAAAACCAGCCCAGACTGGCCCTAAAAAACAAACCTCAGTCAGTGGCATCCTTCTGGCCCCTTACTCCCTTTCCCCTGGGACAGTGCATGCTCCACCCCACCCACCTTACACTGCCCTAGGACTGACTAGGTGGGCCACGGGGCAGAAGCAAACTTGGTTGGCCTGAAGGACAGTTGAAGGCTGGGACCAGGGTGACAGATAGAGGTGAGCGGGGGAACACAGTAGAGGGAGGGTTCTTCCCCTGGACTTGCTCCCGTCAGCCACAAGGGGAGGGATCAACTCAGAGTCCAGCCTGCTTTCCAGGTGGGCCAGCAGCTCGGCATCTCAGTCCCTGGGCCTGGCAGCTGGAACAGAAGAGACTACTCCTGCAGGTGCAAATGGTGGGAGACTTAGCACCAAGGAAATGTGTGTGGCTGACTGCAGGTACAGAGCCAAGCACAGCCAGGTCCTCATACCTGGGAATAGTAGACAAGGACACACATCGTGCCCTGCTTGGCACCTGTGTTGTTCCACAAGCCTCCAGGGAGGTCTGCACCAAGAATGTGCCTCTGTCTATGGAAGGAGGTCCTGACCCCAGGCTGGACTTTCCCTGTGTCCCCCCTGAGGCTTTTTTTGCTTGTCCAGAAGCCCTTTACACGGTGCAGGTGTCCAAATGGGGGCCAGGTGCAAAGGGTAAGAACTCTAGTCTGAGAGTGGACAGGCTGGCTGCTGGCTGGGTATGCAGAGAGCAGCCTGATGGCAGCTCAAGGTGACGCTAGGAGGTACTCTTGCCAGGACACCTTTCTGTTTTGGAGACATTGAAAGCCCTTTACAAATCCCCCTTGTTCCATCTCCCTGTGACTTTGAGAATATGTTGGGCAGCCGTGAAATCTGATTACTTTCCTGAAGGTTTGGCCGTGTGGCTGGAAAGTATGGCCTGGACTTGGGATCACACCCAGCCTCTCCACGGCAGGCAAGAGGAAGCAGGTGTGAAGGTGGAGAAGCCTCATTTTTTGAAACCTGGAAGGAATAGCAAAGTGACATCAGCAGCTGGCCAAGGCCATCATACTCTCTAGATCTGCTGTCTTCACCCCAGACCGGGGCGGAGTGGCGCAAGTCTCACAAATCCAGGTTCTGGGGTGGGGGGTGGGAGGAGGTTTCTGTAAATGAACAGCTCCGGGAGAAGCACTGAGAGAGGAGGCAGGTGGTGTCCTCATGCTGCAAGTTATCCTTCTCACTTGCGATTGTCCACCCTCACCCGGACACGTGTGGGACCAGGGAAGACAGTAGCTGTGGATGTCCCCAGCGTCCCAGCTCCGGACTGGAGCACCTGGTGCCCGTGCGAACAAGCAGGCCCAGAGGCAGGAGTGACTTCAGATCAAGAATCTGGCCCCGCTGAGCTGCCAGTGCTGACCCCGAGTCAGCCAGCACCGGGATGGGCAGCTCAGGAGGAAAGGGCTGGAAGCGGGAGCATAAATGTGCTGCCTTCATCAGCTTATTTTTAGTTGCGTTATGTAAGTGGCTTCATCTCAACGTCACATGGGGGGGGTCTCAGATTTAATTACAGGATGACAGCCTTTGCTTCTCAAGCAAGCTGTTCTACTGGCAAGGCAGGCGCAGGGTTTGTGAGTTTCTGCTACACAGCAGGAGCCTTTCTGAGGTGCCCACCCTGCAGAGCTTGTGCCGTCTTCACCTCCATCACCCTGTTCTGACCAGCCTGACCCAGCTTTGGCCGAGCCTGGCCTGAGCGAGTAGCCTGCCTCCAAGGTCAGGGGACATTCTATGCCACCTAGGGAGCTTGCTCCCCCCCCTCCCTGGCACCCTCCTGCTTGGCAGCTTCTTCTCTCTGAGAGAAGGATCCACCCAATCAGGGCTCCTCTCCCTCTTTCACTGCTAGATTAAAGCTCTTATAATCAGTAACCAGAAAGTTCCAGAGCAGGAAACATGGCAAGGTGCTGGAGCCCTGTCAGGCAGCTTCCTTTCTCCTCCCTCTCCCATCCTTGCCCCCTGCTTCTCCCTGCCACCACAGTGCTGTGACACACTCAACCTGGGCCCGGGTCACCTCTTAAAACTGTACAATGTGTCCAGAGTGCAGTTCTCCCACTTCCTGGATGGAGTGGTTGGCCCTGCGTTCTTCCCAATGTCATCAGCAAGAAAGCGCTGTGGCCTGAGGCTCAGGAGTCCTGCTCCCTGCAGGCAGGAGACCACTACATCCATGTCCAGCGCACTTTGGCTCTGCCCAGTATGGAAGACAGGCACAAAGGACAGTGAGCTTTGATGCTGACAAGTCCAGTGTGGGCTTAGGGAGGGCTCTGCTCCTGAGCAGGCTCTGCAGCCTCTGGGAGGCCCCTGGGAATGGAGGATGCCAAGCATGGCTGGGCAGACAGGGTGGGGGCATAACGGAGAGTGATGAGCTCCAGGAACCGCCCCGGCACATAGCTGGGCCTCAGTGAGTCTTAGAAATTGTTGGGATGATTATTGATTAGACAGGACATTTCTAAAGAGGGTCTGGGTGCTACCTACAAAGTCACTCCGGAGGCTGACCTTTAGAAAGGGAGGGGTCTGTCCCTTCTGCTGGCTGCACGCGGTGACGCCCTTCTCGAGAGCACAGTGTGGAGAAGCTGACCTGCCCCTGGCAAGTGACCATGCAGTACCACCAGCCGGGGCCGCCTGGGCAGCGTGGACCCCTGATGGGATTTGACAAGAAGGGCACCCCGCCTCTGTGCCCTCCCGAAAACCCATAATCCCCATCTTGTGGGAGAGACAGGTGAATCTCAGCAGGGCACAGTCTATGAATCACCTCACCAACGTGCCCCAAAACTGCTAAGGTCATAAACACCAGGAAAGTCGAAGCAACTGTCCCAGCCAAAAAGTGCCCAAGGAAATGGGAGGACTCACTGTCCTGTGGGACCCTGGGACAGAAAGAGGACTTTAGGAGGCACTGAAGGGCACACAGCCTGGACTGTAGTTAAGGCAGCAGTGCTGGCTCCTTAACAACCAACACAATGGCAACAGCATGTCAACACGGGAGCCTGGTGTCTAAAATTCCTGTGTAAACTACAACCGCTCTGGAATTAAGCTTGTTATGGGGGTGGGCAGTGATCCTGGTATAAGCCTCCACTTTGGCTTAATGGGGGTCTGGAGGCACCTGTGCCTAACCCTGGATCTGGTCCTTGCCCTGGGTTCCCTCTTGTCCACTGTGGGGTCACCAATGGAGCACTCGTCCCAGTCATGTACTGCTAGTCACAGAGCGTGCCTGGGACTGATGGGCTGGTGCCTGGGCCTGGCCTGCGGCTGCACTGGCCCAATGGAACCAGTGCCATTAGGCCATCCAGCCCATCACCAGTCGTGGCCCTCACCAGCCTCCCTGGTCTGCCTC